TAAAATTATTTTTTAAAAAAAACACTGTTAACAAACATCTTCACATTTCTGTAAACTGCGAGAGGGCCACGTCGGCAGCACGGACAGGAGGGCCGTGCGCGGGGGTTGAAGATTATACATTCAACTCTGTCGTGAAATAAATATTATAGGAAACGAGTTTTTTTTCTCTCTTAAAAAACACACACACGGACAAGGACAGAAAGAAGGATTCCTGCTACAGCGGCAAGGCGACCCACTGCCTTGCTTGTGGCCGTTCCCGTCACTCGGCCAGGAATACGGGGTTCCTCCATCACCATCATCATCTCCTCCTCCTCCTCTTCCTCTCCCCCTCGCTGGAGGTGCTGGAGGAAAGGGCCGGGCGGTCACTCCTTGCTCCCACCGCCTCCCTTGCAGGAATGCAGCACGGCCTTAAACAGGAGGGGCAGCTGCTCCAGGGGGACGTTCACCATTTTTCCTGTCGAGACAGGGGCCGCGGAGCCGTTAGAGGGTCAGAACTTGGCGTTGGGAGATGTGGGCGCAAATGGCCACTCGGCTGTGGCGCTCAGGAGGGGCGGCCTTGGGGCGGCCGGGCTCTCGTTCTACCTGACCTACCCTACAGGGGAAAGGGCCTGAGAGCAAGACAAGGCAAGGCAAGCCCCCTCCCCAGCTCATGGGAGGGATAAGGGATAAATAAATGAGAAATATATACAGCTTGGGTCCAAGCTAACGGAAGAACCGTATCTCCCCCTAGGAGCTTTCTCAGTATTTAAGATCATCCAGAGAGGCCCTCCTCTCGGTCCCAACGCCAGCGCCGGACGGGACTACGTGAGAGGGCCTTTTCGGTGGCAGCTCCTAGGGGAGGGGAGGATCTCCCTCGGGAGGGTCAGCCCAGCCCCTTTCCTGGTATCCTTCTGCCGACAAGCTGAAGACTCGTCTTTTCAGGCAGGCTTTTCGCAACCATGACTGAGTCCCTGAACGCTTTTCTTAAAGCTAAGACCGTTTTTAATGTTTACTTGCTTTTAATGACTCAATTATAGTTCAATTAGCACACAGTATATTTGCTTTTGTTTTTTTAAAATGTTTTAATTCTATTCTTTTTACAATCCTGACCTGCCTCGGCTACCCTGATCGGGAGAAAGGCGGCCTATAAATAAAATAAAATGAAAATAAACCTGTCTCAGACTTATGCTCCCAGAGGCTGGGCTTCCAAGGGCCTCACCTATCCAGAGGGAGAAAGTCTCCCGCTACCCACAGGTAGCAGAGTTGGGGGCCAGCGTGGAAGCAATCCCTCATGGCCCCGTCTACCTGCTCCTTCCTCCCCCCCCCAACCCCGGGAGCCTTGTGAGAAGGCCAAGTCTGAGGAAACGGGCCCAATCCTCACCTGCAATGTATCGAATCTCTGGCAGGCACATCATCAGGTCTGGGAAACGGTTTGGCTGGTGCGGGTACTTGAATTCCATGAAATCTTGGCAAACGTACCAGTAGCGCTTGTTCAGCTGCTCCAGCTGTGAAGCATTTGTCAGCCCGCGGATGTCTGAATGGTCAAACATGAGTAGGAGGGGGAGATGTGAGTGGGTTGGGAACAGCATCCTCCCTCTTCTGCCCTCCAAAACGTCAACAACCCCTGAACAACAAGCAAGGAAAGGTCCTCAACAGAGCCATCATCCCCACCACCACCGCAGGCTGTCGCGGTGCAATTCAAACTAAAAGATCCCTGCGGTGGAGGGTCTGGATCACATATAAGCCTCTTGTGGCAACTGACGCGCCCCACTGAGAAGACCCACTTTTGCTGACCAGTCCCAGATTTTGGCTGGCAGCACTGCTCGGCCGGCACTGACCTGCTGGCAGAAGAGCCAAAAGATGGGTGGAGAAGCGGGCAAGAAAAGGAAGGAGCCAGGTTGCGCTGGATCCAAACCTCTACGAGGCCAGGGACACCACTGGCACAAGGGGAGGGCAGTCCAGACTGGCCTACTTGTTAGCTCACTCGCTCGTTCATTCATTAATTCAGTCATTCATGCCACCTTTCTCCCCACAGGGAACCCATTCTGGCCAGATGGGACTGCCTTCCTGGGTTTCTAGAACAGGTTCTGCAGCTCATCATTTACATAATAATAAAACAACCACACTGTAATTATTTTCCTGGTTTTATGGACTTCACTTGTGTGTGTTTGTATGTGTGTGTGTTTCTTATTTACTCCTGATCTGTTTTTAAGCAGCCCTTTGAAGGCACATTTTGATGGCATTTCTCGGTGACGTGGAAGCGCATGGTTTGTTTGGTGGAAAGGGAGAACTCCTCAATGAATGCAGAGAAAAGATATGGGGGTGGAGGGAGGATGATCCCCACAGCAAAGGTTTCTGCGCTGGGGTGCCAGATCCCGGTCTGGCATTTGGAATCCATCAACCAGAGGGACAGAAGGACGGAGGTCCCTCCTCGCACTCCTTTCTCCAAGAACAGGGGAAGGGAGTGGAGAACTGCATCGCTCGCTCCTCCCAGCGGAGCAGCCAAAGCAAAGTCACTTCCTACTCATCCTGATGCCTCCAAGATATCTGGAATCCAGAAAACTAGACCAAATCACATTGCAGGAGGGATATTTGGGGGGCGGAGCAGGACTAAAACCCAGGTGCTCAGAAAAACATTTTTTCTGGTGAGTCAAGAGTCCCTTCAGGAGCCTTACGCGAAGAAATAAATACCGCAGAATGTGGGGGCCAGATGGAGGAATGATAGCTTTGGTGACTCTAAACCCATCCATGCAACAAACGCTGGCTTTGTTTTATCCAAGTCTGCCTATGAGAAAGGAGACCATGCCTGGGCTCCCCCTTCCTTCCAGTGTCTGGATTGGCCCTTCACCAAAAAATAAAATTAAAAAAAAAAAATCCAGCTCTGATGATTTAAGGTGGTTGCATAAACAGTGCCCCTTTCCCCAGGCGTGGGCCTCCGCTTCTTCCCCAAAGGGGTGTGTGGTAAAAAGAAGTGGGGCCAGTTCTTTGGGGAGGGGGACTCCCCATCTGTCCATCCCCAAACTTGTCTTTTCTGGGAGACAGTTTGTCAACCGGGAGCCCAGAGCCTAATCCCGCTGCCAGGGAAACGAAGGACGCAGCTCAGCTGACGTTCATTCCAGCCCGGAGGTCAACAGTGAAGAGGTTGTCAGCGCAGAGAAGAGCAGGACGGAGAGCTCTTTCTCTCCCCCCCCCTCCACGACCCCCATCCCCAGCAACCTCACCTTGATTGAGGAAGTTAATGGCTTTCATGCAGGTGTACTCCTCGTTGCTGACTTTCAGCTGGCTGAACTTGCGGTAGAGGTAGATCAAACGTTCCATCACCTCCATGCCTTCTTCGCTAAACCTGGCGGGAAGAAGAGGGAGGGCAAGAGGGGGAAGCTCTGCGTCACAAGACGCTCCGGATCTTTCCCGTGTGATCCAGATGCTGCTGGAGGGAAAGGGGGGGAGCAGAGAAGCAGAGCTGGGAAAAAGGCACCGTCACGCAGCTACTCCCTGCTGGCGTCCACGATCTCCCGAGCTCCCCCTTTCCTGTTCTGTACAAGGCTTAGAGGAGAAGAGTTTGGGGAGCCACTTTGGAAAGGCCCCGGTGGACGGATGGGCAGCAATCAGCAGCGAGGGGATCCCCAGCCATGGGCGTCCCCTGGTGTCGCTCCATGGCTCCTGCTCCACACCAGCGCAGGGCTTTGGTGAAAAGGCCGTGCAGGGCAGCCCACTGGCGTGCAGCGTCCTCCCGTCCCCACGTCTCAGGCTCCCGCCTGCCGGAGCCCAGGACCTTCCCGACACGGCCCTCCTCCCACCCTGCAAAAGCCAAGGAGGAGGACTGTTTGCCGGTTCCCTCGTTTCCTGCCCAGGCCAGCCCACGCATTTCCTCCTCCTCCAGAGCAATCCAGCACGGCTTGACCCGCAGGTCAGCCTGTTGGACAGCAATTTTGGAGGTGACGAAAGCTATCTGGTGAGGGGGAGGGGGGCGCACGGCGCCTCCTTCCCATCCAGAAAGCAGAGAGAGCTTGTAGGCGTAGGACTGCCGCAGCTGGAGGCACTCGCCCCGTCCGGAAATCCACACCGGCAGCTCTCCTGACGTGTTGTGTTGGAAACAGCCATACGTGCAGCTTTTCTCAGCCTGCCCAGGCTCACAAGCACTCCCCCTGCTTTGCCTCGCGCTGCGCTACTTCTGAGGATGCCCAGGCGGCTCCTTTGGGCCTCCGCCGCGCCCCCCCCCACCCTGCCCCGCCCCTGAGCCCATCGGTGGCTGGTGCAATTACCTGGCCCTTACTACAATTCTACGATAAGAGGCTGATTAGAGAGAGAGAGATTAAAAAAAGATGCCATAAATTTGGTACGAAATGGCCAAGACGTGGTTGGGAAGGAGAAAGGCAGACGACAGGCCGAGAGAACAGGCAGATTTTTGATTTACTGAGAGCTTGGGAGTTTCAAGGCGGCTGAAATGGCTGCAGGTCAAGGATTCAGAAAGAGGCTTGTGCGGGGACTGATGTGCGGGCATGCCCATCTCCTTTGAAGAGTGAAGCCACACGCTCCACAGCTAGACAGGAGCCAAACACAGGGGGGCAAACTAGGGTGGTGCAACTGAGTTGGGACAGAGAGGAAATCCTGTGCGTAAGAAGCTCGTGGGGTGGTGGTGGGGAGAAACAGCCCCTCCGATGCCTTGATTCAGGTGCTCATACAACGAACATTTACTAAAATCAATTTGGATGGAATGGGACTAGGGGGAGGCAGAAATAGTTGCAACCCCCCCCAAGTGATCCATGAGCAAAATCCAGAACCATGTAGGGAGGAGAGAATTCCTTTACTGGAACACAAGCATTTTCCTAACCATTGAGCTTCAGAGTGACCAGGCAGGCAGGGCATTGCAGACCTTGGGGGGGGGGGTGGAAACAGGAAAGCCCCCCCCCAAAATAAACCTGGCTACACGTTGAAGACGCCGGCTCTGGATTTATGCTAAAATTCGGGGACAGGGAGGTCCAGGGCCAAGAGAACAGAGATGTCCCAGATCAAGAGAGAAAGGTGGCTGGATGAGCGAGAAAAACTCCCGGGCTTCCCAGAACATTACTGGGCGATGCTGGTGTAGGGTCCCCTGCCTGGCAAGCACAAGGGGAAGTCGGTGGCTTTGTGGCTGTAGGGGTGGGGGTAGGCGAGAGGGAGGGAGGGAGAAGTGCCACAAATGGCTGCTCTCCAAACAAGGCAGCCGGGCCCTCCTCCCAAACACCTCCCCTCTCCCCTGCTGGCAGAATCCTGATTCATGAGCGCCAGGGTCAGAGGGAGCCTCGGTGTGCCTTGTGTGTCTTGGCTGGTGTCAAACGCATCACTGGGTGGTTCAAATTTATGCCCCCGAAAACAACCTCTCCTGCCTCTGACCCTGGAGAGGCTCAAGGGAGGGGGAGAAGCGGGGGAAGAGTCTTGCTTTTGGCAAACTGGGAAAAGGCTCCAGAGGACGGGAGCCGGCAGGCGCCTCCTGGTGGCAAACCCCTGGTGTTGCACCTGCCTGGCGCACTGAACCCCTCCCCCCTGTGCCAGCTGGTCCAGTGGTTCCCCAAAAGAGAGCCCAATGCCCTGGGAGAGGGCACTCGTCTCTGGGCGGCCGGCGGCCACAGGGCGGCTGTTCCCAAAAGGGACCCCCAGACGCAGAGCAAAGAGGCAGCAGGGAGGCCAATGGCACTGGCCATGGGCTCTTTTGGCCACTGCTCCCTGTGTTGGTGTCGACCAGGCGCACGGAGCAACATGAGGGGCTGCCCATTGCTGTGGATCCCCTCACTGCTGCTGTCGCCACTGGCTCTGAGAGCCTCAGTCCCTCCCGCCGCTTCTCCTTAAAACGGATGCAAGAACGCAAGAACCGTAGGCTGAGATCCTGTTCCATAATTTATCCCGTGTAAGGCTGCTGATGTCATCACCTGCACAAGGGAAACAGCTGCTATTCCCCTCCCCACCAGATCACGAGGAGCCTATTGAATTCCTTTCGTCATCAGGAAAGCAAAGCGTGCTGCTTATATCTATACTGCCCCATAGTGCCGAAAGCTCTCTCACATTGGGCCCCCCCCTCTCTCTCTCTCACACACACACGAGGGGCTGCCCATTGCTGTGGATCACCACTGGTGAAAGCTCTCTCACATTGGGCCCCCTCACACACACACACACACTCCAACAAGCTGGGCACTCAGTTTGCCAACCCCAGAAGGATAAAGCCGAGTCAAGTATCTCATAACAGCTCCACCAAAGTATGAATGGAACCCACAGGCAGGTTTCACCCAGATTTATTACTGGGGCACCTCTGAAAGGCATCAAATTTACCCAAGACACCACTGATATGCTTAGCTTACCATTCAGTTTAGGTGATGGATGGTCCAGTGTTCTGGTACCAGGGGTGATGTGGATCACCACTGGTGAAAGCTCTCTCACATTGGGCCCCCTCACACACACACACACACTCCAACAAGCTCGGCACTCAGTTTGCCAACCCCAGAAGGATGGAAGGATGAATCAGCCTCAAGCCAGTTACCTGAATCAGTTGGGATCAAACTCAGGCCGGGAGCAGAGGCTTGACTGCAGTACTGCAGTTTAACCCAGTGCACCGCAAGACTCTAATTAAAGGAAGCCTTTAATTCCTGTAAATCACTGCTGCCTGACTTTAGCGAAAGCAAGCCCTGCGCGGCAACCCCCCTGCCCACTCCCCACAAGTGAGGCCTGGGGGGAATGCAGGGGGAGAGACCCTACCACCCTTCTCTGCACTCCTGGGACCTCCCCACCCTCTTCCTCCTCACCTGTGAAGCTCATCGTCCGAGGGGGAGTATTTGGAGGTGACGTCGGCCAGGTCCCCGAAGATCTGCTTGCTGTACACCGTGAGGGAGGAGAGGAGGATCAGCTCCTGCCAGGTGGAGCTCAGCAGGCAGGTGTAGTCTTTGATGGAGAGTTCGCAGAAGAAGGGCAGCTTCTTGATCCAGGCGATCTGCCGGAAGAGCAGTTCGTCCGCCAGCCGGCACAGCAGGGCAAAGAGCTCGGCCTGAGTGACTTTGTACCTGCAGGGAATCCCAAAGGGGACGGTGATGGGAGGGACCCAGAAAGGAGGAACCGGGGCCCAACCGCTCCTATTGAGGGCAGTGCTTTCCAGTGGCCATCGTGCAGGGGGCCGCCAGGAACCTGCGACAGGGCAGGAGAAAAGACTGATGGCCGAAACAAGGCCAAGCGCGAGAGTTGGCATCAGAGCGAGGCTGCTTTGTCCTTCCACCTCCGAGCAGCAATAAGCGAGAAGACAAAGGCTTCCCAGCACGCGAAGAGAAGCAGACCAGCTCAGAGCAAGACTCCTCTCCTCCACGGTCTATTCGGGTTGCCCTTCCGGTGCCAGGAATCGGCTGCAGCCACAAGGCCAGAGGGAAGGTCCCTCTGGGTCTCCCACGGGGAGGGAGAGGCACGCAAAGTGACCTGGGGCCTGTCTCTGCGTCCAGAAGCAGGAGGGGCTCCCACGAGACGCCACGTCCCTGCCCTCCCCGGTACGCACACAGCGAGCGGAGAAATCGCCCGGCGGAGAAAAAGCAGCAGCTGCTTCTGCTGCTGCTGCACCAGCGCCGCTGAGGCCGCAGCTCCAGGATGATGCAAACGTATCTGAGGCCTCAGAGGATGCGGGTCCTCGAAATACAAAACAAGAGTCACCTCCCAAGCTTCATGGGATGGTTAAAATAAAGAGGCCCTTGTCTTTGACAGCTATGGGTCTACTTAAATTTCCCAGGGGTGGGGCTGAGTGTTGTTCCCCCCCCCCCGGACACAGCTCAACCCCAGCTCCCAGCAGTGAGGCGGATGGGAGTGGTGGTCCCCCCCCCAAGAGGGGCACCTGGAGGAAGGGCGTCCGCCTGCTCCGCCGGATCCTGTTGCCATTGGGGGGGATGTCCCAGAGGGGCTCCCCGGAGCGAGGTGGGGAGCGCACTCACTCACCCGTCTTCGATCAGCATGGGGGTGCCGAGGGGCTCCAGGTCCTCCGCAGACACCAGCTGGCTGATGAGGAGGCCGTGGGACTGGGGGTCGAGGCTCCGCGGCGGCTGGGGAGGCAGCAGGGCGGAGTGAGCCGGGCAGCTCAGAAGGTGCGGGAGGTACGGGAAGGGCCCGGAGACCGGCGTTCCCATGTATGGATCCCTGAGCGCCGCAAAGCCATTCAACTCCACAGACCTACTGGGAAGAAAAAAAGGGGACGCAGCCCTGAGAGAGAGGCTGATAGAGGAAGTCAGGATCAAGCCCATGGCTCTTTATTTCTGCCGCTAACCCCCCCGGCCTGCTGGGAGACGGGAGAGCCGTGACTATCAGAGGCAAGAACGGCCCCATTCTCACCCTCCCCTCTGAAACCCTCGCCGGGGCCGAGAGTCCCACCTTGAGGACGGGGTCGAGACTGGGGAGGGCTGGTTGCTCTCGGACACCCCGTTGCCCGGGGAGCTGTTGTCGCTGTCGCCGTTGTTGCTCCAGGAGAGGTTGGCCTCCCCTTCAAACTCCTGCCCGGACATGATCCGTTCGATCTCTTCCTCGGAGATCTGCCAGGGAGGAGGAGATACGGCAACAGGAGTTAGTGACGCCGGACAGAGGGCGTCCATGGGCCAAACTGGACCTGAAACGGGCCAAAACGGCCCCAGGGCAACAAAAGGTCAGAACCAAAGTCCCCAGGCATGTACTTCCGGTTTGGAGTTTTTGAGGATTGGGGAGACTGGCTCAAACCCACCCACCCACCCCACATCCCGTGACCTGGTGCAAGGGAAACCCATCGCTCTCGAAAGTCTCCAGGAACAGGAAAACCAAACGCCGTGCAATATTTTAAAAAACAAAACAAAACAAAAAAACATGAACATGAGCGGACAGGGCTTCATTTCCTACGGCCCAGCATCCACAGCCGAACTGGGTCTTCTCCAGCAAGCACAGCACCACCGACATCTCTGGGCAGCAAAGGGGCTCTGGCGGTTGCTGGACAGAGACGCTTTCCGGATAAAAACACTGCCTCTTCTGAAGCGAGCGGCTCTTCCTTCGGAAGCAGGTCCGCAGATACCGAAAGCAGAGAGCTAGCTTATAGGGAAGAAGCCCCATTGATGTATCTAACTCAGTGGGGAAGGACGGGCACAGGCCGAGAAGCTGCAGGGGTGGCACGGACAATAAAAGGACGCCAAATCAAAAGGGTGGGAGATGCATTTCAACTTCTTAAAGAGGAATAAAGCTTGCAAAAGAAAACTGGGACATTTCCAACCAACGGTACTGCAGAGAAGGTGAAGCCAGTCTGAGGGTTTCCTACAACCTGCTTCTTGAACAGGCTAAGCTGCTGGGCCCTGGGCAGAAAAATTTAGCCCTAAGGGCACTCCTGCCCTGGCTTCGTTTTTGGTTGGAAGCCACCCCTTTTTTTTTCTTTGACTGAGAGGCAAAAGAGCAGCGGGAAGGGGGGGATAGGGGCTGCATGAGTGCAATTCCAAGCCCTGCTTTATAAAGAAAAAGAAAGAAGGCTTGATCCAGGGAGGGTTGTATCTGTCTGTCTGTGAACATATCCTGCTTATCTATTCTGCCAATCTCCTTGCTGGTTTCCAGCTATTTGCCAGTTACTGATGGGGTTCCTTCTCTCTCTCTCTCTCTCTCTCTCTCTCTTTTTTTTTTAAACCCCTCATTTAAGGATGATCTTCTTGCTTTTATGCTGGTTCATAAACCATCTTGGGGATGCTGATGCATTTAAAAAAAAGAGTGGAAATATTTAAAATCGATACACGAAAAGGAAAAAGGTAGCTGCCTCCTCCTTACAGCTTATTTTGACAGCACACAGCGGGAGGCTGCACCGGACAGGGAATGGGAGATGAGGGTTTTCTCCCCCTGGGATTTGGGGAAGACCGTGTCTCGAAAATTATGGCGTTAACCCATAGGAGGAAAGATTAAAGGTCGTCTCAAGGGGCGCTGTGGATTTTCCTTGACAAAAAGCTCCAGAACGCACCCTGCACGCAGGCCAACCCCAGCGTCCTGTTGTGTGGCTGGTGTATTAAAGCAAGGCACCCAACACACGTGCAGGCAGGCAGGCACCCCGCCTGCTCCCATCTGGAAAGCAGCCATCATTTCTCACTCATGTGGCAGGAAGAGATTGGGCTGAATTACCCGGCATTTTACAAGACATCTCCTGACAAGCCAGCCCATCCATCAGATGGACATTTACGGGGGGCCCCGCTTGAGACAACTTCAGAAATTGCGCTGTGATCACGGGGGAAGATTTACAGAGAGCTTGGGCTGGGACTCAGGGGCTTAGGCCAGCTTAGGGAGGGCAGAAGGCTTGCTCAGGGCCTGGAGAGAGGCTTCCAGTTAACACCTGGGAACAGCTGGGGCTGAACTCCCAGAGCGTGCACTCAAAGGGAATGTGCTCCCCACCTCACCCCGAGCTTGCCTGAATAAGAAACTGCCTAAGACGGAGGGAGACCATCCGGTCCAGTGTTGCCTTCACTGAAAGGCAGCAGCTCTCCTTACGAAGTAGGGACGTCCCCAGGAGTGGGGCCCGATTGAACCTGGGGTTTTCTGTGCACAAAACAAGGGAGATAAGCTCTGATAACCTAGGGACCGGCCTTCTATGGAGCCAGTCCTTGGTCCACCAAGGCCAATGCTGTCCACACGGGCTGGCAGCAACAGCCAGGCAGGGTTTCAGGCAGAATGCTGTCCCCAGGGCCACAGGCAGGAGGAGAGGCCAAACTGGGAAGGTTTCCTGACCAACTCAGAGCTTGACTGCTGGCCTCCAGCTCTTTCCAACTGGAGGGAGGAAACTTTCAAGGGTTTTTCATTAGCTGTGTTTTCAATATTGCCGTTTTGTGCCCTGACATTATAAACCTGTAGTGTTCTGCTCAGTATGCGTGTCCTCATCTCCTACTGAGCCACTGTCGGTCCCGAATCTACAATGAATGGGGAATTTAAACAACACACGTACGCACACCCCCTGTGATAGGTGCATGGCTCCTCTCTTGCCCAAAGCAGAACACAGAAAGCGCCCTCTGACTCCCCGGGTGCAACCTGTGCAGTCCAGATGAGACCTGGCCTTCTGGGGTTTCATGACAAGGCCAGAGAAATAAAGTCCCTCACTTCTGGTAACACTCTTGATTGCTGATGACCCAAGACCCAAGACCCCAGCTCAGCCACAAAGGCTTAATTAAGGCAATGTCTGTTGAGAGGCCCCACCGGGCAGCTCACCTGAACCGGTCCGATGCTCTTGTTCCTCCCTCCGGGCATGCCATCTTCGCGGATTGCTGGTGAAAGACAAAGCAAAACCACACCTCTAGAGCCGAAACCCACAAGGAGGGCAACCACACAACAGCCCGCCTGCGCCTCTTTCTCATGCTCCCCTGGGACAATGAACACCCCACCTTCCTTAAAACCTTCCCTTTGAAAGCTGTCCAGTTGGCAGCCGATTACTATGTCTTGTGGCAGTGAGTTCCACGGTGCAGCTGTGCCCTCTGAGAGATGTCCTCCCTTTTCCCTTGCCTGAAGCTCCCACTGCAACTAATGCTGCCTCGCTGGGCTGGGAAGACTTAGTCTGCCCGGCCCAGCCCTGTCACCAGGAAGCCCCTGGAGTAGAAGCTGCAGGATTTCCAAACGAGAGAGAGGTCAGGTTCCC